GGAAGTAGATTGCCCAACCTTCTTTCTGAGGAGTGGCTGGTGGGTTTGAACCGTCAGCCTTCTGGTTAGCAGTCAAATGCCTTAGGCACTAGGTGGCTCTAGAAACACTATTCTAAAGCTGTAGTCAGGGAGATTAAAGAATAATAATTAATAGATTATGTAAATGAGATAAGACATTTAATTAGCAGTCCCAAATGAATCAAGCCCCCTAGAATTCTCACTTCCCTATACTTCCTCCCTCATTGGCACTGGGTTTTGGTGACTTGTTTTAACCAATAAGACAATAGTAGGCATCACTCAAATAGAGGCTTGATAATCGTTTGAATATAGGTTTTCACTTCTTATAACCCAGCTGCCACGCTGTTAGAAGGCCAATTAAATTTGCTAGAGAAAGAGAAGCCACCTGCAGCTAGAAGTGAGGTCTTTTGGATGTTCCAGTCCTAGCACAATGCTTGATTAAATGGTTCACATAAATGACCTTAGCCAATATCATGTGGAAGAGAAGAGCTACCTACCCAGTTGATTCCTCCCCAAACTCCTGACCTATAGAGCTCTAAACAACAAAATGATATTGTTTTAAGTAATTATATTTAGTAGTGTGTTGTTACACAGCAGTGGATAACACATACTTGTAGTCCTCAACTTACAATATATTCAAGTTACAGTGAACCACATTTAGCATCCTTTTTTTCCCCTATGCTTTACAGTTAGTAACAAGCACTACAAACAATGTTTCAGTGTGCAATTTGCTGATGTTATTATTTGCAGATGTTCACTCACAGACGCTCAATTTTATGAGTTACTCTTCAAAACACTGCCACCTGGTCTACAATGAAGCTGGTTTCAGGAGTCATGATGAATAGATGGGCAATGTTCAACTCTAACAACATACTACAATCGAACTGTGCATACACTCAACAGCCATTAGGACTCCAACTTCATTGTTAAGACACTGATGCCAACTTCACTGTAGACTAGGCCTGTAGAATGATCTGTTTTTACAGTGAAAGAATTAGCTGTAGTTTTTTTTTCTTTTTTTCCTAAACTAAATCAGAGGCTTCAGCTGCTTGAAAACTGAGACCCAAATGCTAACAGTTTTACTACAATAGATTCAGGAAACAGTGAGATGTTACTGAGAAATATATGAGAAAAAAGTAAAGGATCATACAGACAACCACTCTCACTAGTTTTCTGACTAGAAATGCCACTCTCCTTCCCAGGGATAATCCAGATGATCCAGAGCCTTCCACGATTGGAGTTCTTACCACAAACGACAAAATGTCAACACTGCCCAATTCTTCATCAGTGGAACAAATTTTTATGATTTGTGTTCTATTTTATGAATGCATATGCATATTAAAATATATCTGTAAGTTTATATGTATTGTTCCCAAATCCCAAAGATGAC